TCTGTGGGGCTGGTGTGTGGCTCAGCAGGCTAAGCCTCTGTGCCTGTGGTTGGAGGATCACTGGTTAGACACTCAGCAGAACAGTCACATGTCTGTGGGCCCTTGATCGAGGCCCTTAACCCCCAGCTCCAGGGCTGCTGGATGTCAGCTGACCCTGTGCTGTGACCCCTAAGCTTGGTGTCACCTGTAAATGTGTCTGTGTCTCTCATGGAGAGTGAGAAGAGAAGCATTCCAATGTACCTGTACTTCCAAATAAAGGATCATTTGACTAATTAACCCCCCAGATAAAGAGCCCTCTGTGTTTCTATAGCAGGTCAGGATGCACAGGATGGTCATGGAAATGTTACTTTTTGATTTTTTACTATATCACTACCCTCAGTCATTATAAAATCTGGGTCCCAGATAATCAAAAAACAAATCAATCCCAGGTATTAATCCACAAAAAGCAATAAATTATATATTTTACATATTTTTAAAAATGTTAATATGTTATTGCCAGACATGATACATTCACATCCACACTTACAGAGCTGTCCTAGATGTCTTGACCACAGGCAGCAGCCTCCAATGCTCTTTATCTGATCTGATGAATTTCTTCAGATCAAACACATCCAGCTCCTCATCTGACATCAGTAACACAAAGGCCAGAGCTGAATACTGCGCAGGTGAGAGGTCTTCTGCTGAAAGACTTCCTGAGTTCAGGTATCCTTGTACTTGCTCTACTATAGGATTGTCACCCAGCTCATTCAGACAGTGGAACAGGTTGATGGTCCTTTCTGGAGATAAATTCTCCTTTATTTTCTCCTTGATGTATTTGGATATTTCCTTAATGTTATGTGAGCTGGTTCTTGTCTCTCCCAGTAGCTTTTGTAACAGAGTCTTACTGGAGTCTGTTGAGAGGCCCAGGAGGAAGCGGAGGTAGAGGTCCAAGTGTCCATTCTTGCTCTTTAATGCCTGATCCATTGCAGTCTTCAGCAGATCAGCTGATGAATTTGATAGAAACACATATAAAGCAGCAAGATACTCCTGGATGCTCAGATGCACAAAGCAGTACACCTTCTCCTGATACAACCCATATTCCTCTTTAAAGACTTCTGTGCACACTCCAGAGTAAACTGAAGCTTCAGTGACATCAATGTCATTCTCTGTCAGGTCTTGCTCATAAAATATGAGATTGACTTTCTTAAGGTTGTCAAAAGCCAGCTTACCAAGTTTTAACAGAGATTCCTTACCAGATTCAAAGCATTTATTAAGCTTGGTTTCACTGTTTTTCATGTACTTATCATTTTTTAAACCTGTCTGAAAGATCAGGAAGTGTGTGTACATTTCAGTCAAAGTCCTTGGAATTTCTCCCCTGTCAGTTTCACTAAATAGCCTCTCAAGGACAGAAGCTGAAATCCAGCAGAACACGGGTATGTGGCACATGATGAAGAGGCTCCTTGATGATTTCACATGGGTGATAATCCTGTTGGCCAGGCTCTGATCACTGAATCTCCTCCTGAAATACTCCTCCTTCTGGGCATCACTGAACCCTCGTATCTCTGTTACCCGGTGGATGTACTCAGGAGGTATCTGATTGGCTGCTGCTGGCCGGGAGGTTATCCAGAGGAGAGCGGATGGAAGCAGATTCCCCTTAATGAGGTTAGTCAACAGCACATCCAGTGATGTTTTCTTTGTTACGTCAAACCAGCTCTCATTGTTCTGAAAATCTAGAGGAAGGCGACACTCATCCAGACCATCAAAGATGAACAAGACTTTGTACCTAAACAGCTCATTGGATTCAACTGTTTTGAGATCAGGGACAAAGTGGTGAAGCAGTTCAATCAGACTGTATTCATCCTTAATCAAATTCAGGTTCCGGAAAGGAAGAGGAAATATGAGGTGAACATCCTGGTTTGCTTTTCCTTCTGCCCAGTCGAGAATAAATTTCTGCACAGAGACTGTTTTCCCGATACCTGCCACCCCTTTACTGAGTACAGTTCTGATAGGTGTCTCACGCCCACATAAGGGTTTAAATATATCATTGCACTTGACTGTAGTATCTTCTGTTAGCCTTTTCTTGGATGCTGTTTCAATCTGTCTCACTTCATGTTCATCATTGATTCCTCCAGTTCCACCTTCAGTTACGTAGAGTTCTGTGTAAATCTCACTGAGAAGTGTTGGCTGTCCTTCCTTAGCTTTCCCTTCAAATACACACTCACATTTCTTCTTCAGGGTACATTTGATTCTGCGCTGACATTGTGGCAGAAGATGCCCTGAAATGAAACGAGAGGTAAATGCACAAACTTTTTAAAAAACACAATTTTTTACTCATACAAGCAAACCTAAATCAAATTAAATGATATACTGAAATGTACTGTAATACATGTTTTTTTTTCATATACAGTACTAATTTTCTGAGACCAAACAAACACACAGAGAATGAGATTCAGCTCTTACTCTTCTCCAGCCTGTCAGCGAGATCATTTTGCTCCATGGTCCTCAGGATGTACAGTGTGATCTTCAGAGCTCCTTCTCTACCACAGGTCTTCTGCATCTGACCATCACTGTCCAGGTCATCGTCCTCCTCCAGCTGAGGCTCAGAGCATTCTGGGTAATTCTGATCTAGGTACCTCATGAACCTCTTCAGCTCGTCCTTCAGGAACCTCACAGCATTTTCCTCTAGTGACTAAATGCACAATCAAAGTTAATTATTATATAATAAAGTTTTATTTATTGACTCTTAGGTTTGAATATCTTTTCATGAACATTATTGGTTTCTTACTGTATAGCTGTATAAAATATAAGCCAATTCACACAACACTTAAGAAAATACATCCATCCATCCATCCATTGTCCAACCCACTTATCCTACTGGGTCGCGGGGGGTCCGGAGCCTATCCTGGAAGCAACGGGCACGAGGCAGGGAACAACCCTGGACAGGGGGACAGCCCATCACAGGGCACACTCACACACCATTAAGAAAATACATATCAGCAATAAATACAAACCTTTAATATGGAAGATAAACCCGGTTTCTCCTGTAGATCTGAATTGCATCCTTCCATTTGGTCTCTGTGAATAAGACAGAAATATAAAGACCTCAAATCATCTACACAAGTGTAACAGAAAGTCTGTAATGGTCCCCATTAAAAGTGGTATTGCTGCCGACACAGAATAACCTAGTGATGTATTTTAATGTGTAAAGATATAAGATGCCTTTTTAAGCTTTATTCATTAGGGCGGCTTCATAACATCAATCTTCTCATAAGAGCAGAAGAGAACCAGTAACATCCTGCTCCACCACACAGAGATACAGCAGGCAGGACAGAGAGTCCGAGTGTTTTAAATGCACATTTACCTTTGATCTGTAGGAAAAGGTGCCTCTCTGAAGTGGATTGGGAGCCCCATTGACCTGTCACTCTTCATGGAAACACAACTGGGTGCAGGTGAGTCTGCTCTCTCCATCAGGACACTGTGGACAGAGAGAGGAAACTGTCACGCCCACAGAGGCGGGGCAGCACAGCGGCTAGCAATCACCTCGTTCTCTACCACAATACTTAAAGCAAGAACAGCCAAACCTTTGGTTGTGTCTGTTTAAATAAACCAATCAGTCAGGAGGAAAAGGCCTCTGTGCCATAAATGGAAAATAACTAATGATGTCAGAATAAAGCAGGAGTATCTCAGTCTATAGGTTGGGTTACAAAATAACATTAGACTTGCCAAGAGAAATGTCAAAAGAAAGATTGCAGTGGAGGCAACACATGCTGATTACAGTGTGTCACTGCACCCACCACACTACAAACTACCTCAGGGATGAGAACCTGAGTGCAGCAGGTGGTACCACAGCACCACACTAGTCTGAACATGCCAGTGTGAGAACCAATCCTGCCACCCACCCCCAAATTTCCCTGCAAGTTGGAGGACCTCCTTACAGGGCTGGTCATTAACATCATACCCAAGACATAACAATTACAGCTTAAGGGCCCTGCTCAAGGGCCCAAAGGAGTAGAATCACTGGATTTGACCCTGTAACCTTCTGGCTACTAGCAGCCGAAAATGAAATCAATATAGTTAATGAGTTTAATGATTATTTTGCACAGATATTCACTGTGGAGGACATGAGTAACATTCCAACGCTTATTCCTAATCCAGCTTTGTCTTTGACCAATATACGTATAGCTGAAGCTGAAGTGCCACAAAGCCTAGCTAAGCTCAGAGTACGTACAGATGTGGACAAATTTGTTGGTACCCTTATAGCTCATTGAATCAATGCTTCATTTCTCCTGAAAAGTGATTCAATTAAAAGCAATAGTCTAATGTATACCTGCATACCTTAAGTATGTGATGGAATAAACCAATAAAATTGAATTGTGAAAAGAAATGATTTGTTGTTTATTTTACAAAGATGCTAAAATAGTACAGACAACTTTGTTGATACCCCTAAAGAGGCTATTTATCCTTGCATTATAGTCATGTTTCAAACTAAGTGTTTAACCTTAATTAGTATCACAGGTGTCTTCAAGCTTTTCATCAACCATTCAGCCTATTTAAAGGGAAAGAACATGCTACTGTGTTGTTTGGTATGATTGTGTGTAGTTCACTGAACATGGACCAGATACAGCAGAGGAGAATGAGCCGTCTGAGGAGCCTGTTCTTATGTATCACTGTTACAGCATCTATCACTAGACTTGGCTGCTATTCCTCTTTCCCAGTTTGTTTGTATATGTATTTGTTATCTACCGTGTTATGGTGTGTGGTCATTTTGGGTAGGAGGGATGATGTGATGGTTGCCTGTAAAATAGAAGAACTGGCTGATTTTGGAGGGAAGGAGAAAGAAAGAAAATGCTGAGCTGTTTTATTATTAAACTACAAATATTAATGTGCCCCCCAGCCCTTTGAACCCTGTTTACTTTTACCTTATGGCCTAACTATAGACCCACAGAGACATGCATGCTAGTGGGCTGTAACACTGTTACCTCTCAGGCCCCTTTGACTTACACCCCACAGGGGGGGTAATTTCAGAAGCAGGTTCCTCCATTTTGGTGCTGTTTCAGAGCAGATGATTCCTGCTGAGGCCTATGTGAACATGAAGGGTAAATATAGACACATACAAATACAATATCTAATAATCAGCACTTTTATACTGAACTGGACGCTACTGGAATAACAACAACGTCACGCTAACCGTTATCGCCATTTTTTTCTTAAGAAAACGCCACATAGCCTTAACACTTTATTTACTTTATTCCCAAGTTCGGCAGCGCTGCATTTCAGGTGAACTCAAGTCATTAAAACATTCTATATAAACGTGTTAATTCGCTTAACATTCTACAAATTATTCCATAACGTTTACTCCATGCGATTATTTACAGTGTATCGAATTACATTAAACGTCTAATTATACTGAGAAGTATTAAATCCCAGCCTGTGTGTTAAACAGGGGCAGATTTAAGGGGCGGCCACCGCACATCAAAACAATAAAAAACGAAATTTGGATTATTTTATTTTATAAGCAGAAGCACAGAACAGACAAGGCGCGGTGCGGGCGCCCCCGTAAATATAACTGCCCTCCCCCCCGGACGGCCACCTCAATCAAATTTTTCTGCCGACGCCGCAGTTTAAACATGATTATTTTACTATTAGTTGTATCTGCTGACTATAATCTTACCTTGCAATACAAAATATCTGTATATTTTTCAAGAGTCTTATTCGTGTTCCTTGCTAAAATGGCGACTCTGACTTTTTCTCTTTCACTTTCATTTACAGCTGTTTGTAAACAGCTTCGTAACAATTGCGGAAGTGCGCTATGACGCGGCCGAGGATTTATGCGGGTATTATCTCTGAGACTTAATAATTAACAAAAATAAGAGAAAGGGGACAAGCTCCCACCGCCAAATAATTTTGTCATAGCTCACATTCTGCATCATATTCGTGCATATAATGCGCGGTACTGCAGTGCAATTTAAATCATTAACATTCGATCTTAATCACGATTCGCTATTCACACTTGTCGACGTGCTACAGCATGCACAGTTTTACTGAAAAAAATAACAATAACTTATAGAATTTACTCAGATAAAATAAGGTAACAACCTGAAGTCGCTTTTTGGGGTCAATTGAAACTTTTTGTTTTTTAATAAAGTGTGTAACAAAAATATTTTAAATAAAGCTAAATTCTACCTACAGTACCTTCACAATAACCATCCTATATAATTTTCTCAAATTAATCAGGCAACATTTTTGCACTCACTTTTTTTGGTAAATGTATCATTTGTATGAGTAAAGTAAACCCTTAAGTTTAGAAATTAATATGTCCAAAGTGGCGCAAGGCATAATGTAAAGGTCTTTATGCCTGATGCAGGTTCCTGTCCAGATGACAGTTAAGGGTTTTGCTCAAGTGCTTACAGATGTGTGACTGTTCTGCTGTGGCTGGAAACAATCCAGTGACCTTCTGATCACAGGCCCAGAGGCTTAGTCTGCAGATCCACAAGCTGCCCCCCTCACCTAAAGTCAACGGTGTAGTATTTAACTGTTATTATAAGGGCACGCTGAAAAGAATGCCGTGTAAACTCTAATTTACTTTTAAAAAATCCTCCTAAGTTTTTGCACAAGTATTTTCTAAGTAAGTTTAGCTGCAGCACTGCTGAGTAGAAGTTACCATTTCCTTAATAAGACTAACTATTACAATCCTAGGCAAATTCAGCACAGCACTTAAGTGGGTTAGAGATGCCTTCTTTGACGGGGTGACTTTGATGATGACCTTCCCATCAATAGGACACATCCTCAGCTGCGTACCCTGGGCCTATTTTGGGTGTTTATGCCTTTTATCACAAGACACCCTCAGCAGAGGCAGGCCCACCAATAGGACACATCCCCAGTTGCGTACCCTGGGCCTCATTGGGTGTTTCGGCGATTTATCACAAGACAACTTTAGCAGAGGCAGGCCCACCAATAGGACACATCCTCAGTTGTGTACCCCGGCCTCATTGGGTGTTTCTGCCTTTTATAATCAGACACCCTCAGCATCCTCTGCTAGGGGTGTTCGGTTCCGGTTTTTTTGGAGTCGACTCCGACTCTCGACTCTTAATTTTGGAGTCGGTGGAATCGACTCCTCGACTCCATTTACTTTGAATTAAAATAGGGTCAGGATTCAGAAGGTGCGTCTCAATATGCTTCCTCGTTT